CTCTTCGTTTGTACGTGATATTTAGAAACACCCTGTATATATGACGTAAACCTCCCCTTCCGAGTACATTCACAAAATTTCGTAGGCTTAAACACAGTCAGATTGGTGTGCTAAAAATGCATGGCAAACACCTTCAAGTGGTAGCCTGTCTGATACAAAATTTCGCTGAACGTTCCCTATTATGGATAAAGACATTAAATAAAAACACAACATAAGAGGAACCAAAACACAGATTATGTATTAGTCAGAGAACTTATCATTAATAATGATAAATAGGAGTTAAAGATTATACAGGAACACGGTAGAGTAATGACTCTCTTAGACCTAACTTCACTAGAGAGTCATTACGGGGGGGAGTCGATAATTTCTTGGAAAATTCGAAAAAATTATTGATGCTTTGTAGGGATATTTTGAAGTTTGAGGATGATAGAGTTGACCCTGAAGTACACTCAAGAATAGTTTTTGAAATCAAGTCAAGTCTGGGAGAGTCGCTACGGGTGGAAGGCGATAATTTGTTGGAAAATTCGTGAAAAATTCATGATGCTTTGTAGGGATTTTTGAAGTTTGAGGATGATAGAGTTGAACCTTGAACACAGTCCAGAATAGTTTTTGCGGTCAAGTTAGGTCTGGGAGGGTCACTACGGGGGGGAAGTCGATAGTTTGTTTGAAAATTCGTGAAAAATTAATGATGCTTTGTAGGCATTCTTTGAAGTTTGAGGATGATAGAGTTGACTATAAGCACAGTCAAGAATAGTTTTGGCAGTCAAGTTAGGTCTGGGAGAGTCACTACGGGGGAAAATCGATGATTTGTTTGAAAATTCGTGAAAAATTATTGATGCTTAAATTCTTAAAAAAATTTCTTCACAATTTTGTATTTTATTTTAGCTTCGATAAAAGAAGAAACAGGCTGTAAACTAAAAAAATCTCAAATCGGTCCATTTGTTCACGATTGGCAATGGTTCAAGGTTGCACCTAAAGTTAGGTCAGTCACATTTTATGACACTGAAAAACAATTTCAAAAAAAAAAAATATGCGTAAAGCTAAGAGAATTCGGAAGGATAGATTTATGATGTTTAAGAACTATCGATCAGACCCTTCAACTGATGGGCAAACAGAAAAAATATCAAAGAGGGGAAAAACTTATGCGATAATCGACCTTTTTAGTCCCCGTATTGACTTTCTCAGAACTAACTTGACTGGAGGAAGTTTTCTCATATGATTCAGGGTCAATTCGTTCTTCCTGAAATGACGAAAAATCCCTACAAATTGTTAGAGAGATTTTTTTCAGGTAATGACCAACGTGAATACAGGAACACAACGGTCCCTGTTTGGGAATCGACCCACTGAGCAGTGGACCCAGACTTCCCGTGCCAATCCTTGACGCGTTTCGTCCTTGTTAGGACTCATCAGACCAATCAGTGTAGTTCAACGCCGGTAGGGGTATTTGCCCTCGGAGTAGTTGTTTCTGACTGGTCAACGAAGTTCAATTTTGCTTGGACAGGGAGCTTCAGCCTATGTCCTTCTGATGAGTCCTAACAAGGACGAAACGCGTCAAGGATTGGCACGGGAAGTCTGGGTCCACTGCTCAGTGGGTCGAATCCCAAACAGGGACCGTTGTGTTCCTGTATTCACGTTGGTCATTACCTGAAAAAAATCTCTCTAACAATTTTCATTGCCAACGAAAGCTCAGACCAATCAGTGTAGTTCAATGCCGGTAGGGGTATTTGCCCTCGGAGTAGTTGTTTCTGACTGGTCAACGAAGTTCAATCCCTACAAAGCATTATTAATTTTTCAAGAATTTTGACACAAATTATCGACTTCCCCCCGTAATGACTCTCTATGAAGTTAGGTCTGGGAGAGTCATTATTCTACATTCTACCGTATTCCCATATAATCTGTAACTCTTATTTAGCATTATCAATACTAAGTACTCTTGAATAATACATAAATCTGTATTTTTGTTCCGTCCCTAATACTTATGTTGTTTCATTTAATGTCTTTATTTATAATGAGAAACGCTTCAGCGTAATTTTGTCTTGGACAGGCTACCACTTGAAGGCATTTGCCATGCATTTTTAGCACACCAATCTGACTGTGTTTAAGCCTACAAAATTTTGTGAATGTAATCGTAAGGGGAGTTTCACGTCATATATAGGTATATATTTTTTTAAGGTCGTTGCCCTGAACGGGCTACCATTGGAAGGCGTCTGCCCTGGACGGGCTACCACTGGAAGGCGTCTGCCACGTGTTTTTAGGTTTCTGATATAATTCTCTATATGCCCAAAAAATTTCATTTGTGTACTCGTTAGGGGGGTTTTTGATCAAAATTCCCTTATTTGGGTGGCGGTCACGGGGGCCGGCTACCACCCATCGCTGCCAGACGGGCGGTTTTTTGTTACGAATGATAAAGTGTTTCGAGTACCTATAATGAAAATTTTGTGCCCGATGAGGGGGGTGATTTGACGCTGGGCCACCGGTCTAATTATTACGAACTGAGCCGCGTTAGCGGCGAGGGAGTAACATTCCGAGGGAATAATAGCCATTATTGCGAGTAGTATACTCTACTTTATTTACGACAAATTAATTTATTTGAGATTTTTAATGAACAAATTTCATCCGTTTCATAATTTTCAATACAAATCCACAAGCACTACACGTTTGACACTGACACTTTTGTGGAATAATGACCATTAATCCCGCTACTCGTCATTAATCCCTGGAGGAATAACATATGTCATTATACTGCCAAAATCACAAATATAATACGCACATTATACATTAGTCGTAAATAAAAAAATAAAGTTGCTGATGGTGGCCCAAAGACAAAACGTCGGATTTGATGGTAACATCTAGTGGAGGAGAAAAAGTGCCAATGATAGAGTGACATTTATTTTGGATATCTCTTCAAATAAGCTCAGAAAAAAATAAAAACGCTGTAAAATTTCGGATTATTCCCAATATTTCAATATATTTTTTGATATTTTGTTAAGCATAAAATTGCGCGACTTTGCCTTTGGTAAGAGATACAAGGTTGGTTAAGATATTAACCAACCTTGTATCTCTTACCGTTTCCAATATCCCGATGATACTAGTCGAATTTGGACACCCTGTACATACACACTTATGTAAGTACCTTTCAATAAGTTCTCACCAAGGTTCTTACAATCAAATAAAACTAACTTGGACTGTAAAAATTCAAAAAAAAATAATTTATGAGAAAAAGCGGCGCTCAGGAAGCTCATAAACATACTGTTTTCTTACATCATTCGGCACGTATTACCAAGTATTTCTAGGTATTCCCCAAGGTATTACTAAGTATTTCTAGGTATTTCTCAGTATTTCTAGGTATTTCCAAAGTATTTCTAGGTATTTCTAAAGTATTTCTAGGTATTTCCAAATATTTCTAGCTATTTCCAGGAATTTGTACACCGATTTCCATGGGTGAAAAGCCCCTCGGACAAAATGTAGACTAAATTTCCACTTTGAGGGTCAATATCTCTCAAACTCCATTCTTGCCGAGGGGGAATCCACCTACCTAATTTTGTACACCAAAAATTCTAAAATTCTGAAAAATGCTAATTTTCATATTATTATTGTCCCAAAAAATTCTAAAATTTCTAAAAAATTGAGCATGCGCAATAGATAAAAATTCTAAATTATTTCTAAAAAATTCTAGTTCAATTCTAAAAAATACTAAATAATTCTAGAAATTGCTAGGAAATGCTAAAAAATACTAAAAAATGCAAAAAAATACTGATAATTCGGAAAAATTCTAAGAAATTATAAAAATTCAGTTTGTATGTACACCAAAATTCTAAGAAGGTTTCTCGCTCGGGGGAACCCACCTACCTAATTTTGTACCAAAAATTCTCAAAAAATTCAAAAATCCCTACAGATTGGGCAGTGCGCAGGCTCTTGAACATGCGCAATAGGTGAAAATTCTAAATTATTTCTAAAAAATTTTAATTCAATTCTAAACAATACTAAAAAATACTGATAATTCTAAAAAATTCAGTTTGTACACCAAAATTTCAAGGTGGTTTCCCCCTCGACTCTTGCCAATGGTGTATGATTGTAGAATTTTCTGGAAATCCATCGAAAAAATGAGCAATTATTCATAGCCATGTCAAGATTTCAAAAAATTCCAGAGCCAAAAATGAAATTTCCTTAGGATTTTTTTTCTCATCGAAATTTTCAAATTGAACTGATGTTAGAGTTGTTCCTGGTTAATTTGGAGTCGCTCTATCGAAATAAAAAGTCGAAAATAGGAAAAACCAAAGAATAATTTGAATTTTTTGCCTGGAACCATCATATCTCAGTAACTTCCCACAGAATTTTCTTATAGAAAAACTAAGAATTTTATGAAGTTATAACTCAAAATTTGAAAATTCTGATGTCTTAATCATAGAAAAAACTGAGAAATTGCAGGTAATGACTCAGAATTTAGGACCTGCAAGTCTTTTAGAAGAGAAAACTGCAAAAGATTGATTCTTTTAAAACCAGAACTAGGAAATTTGCAAAATTTTATTGCTCAGCATTAAAGAATCCTATAACAGTCTCTTCAGGTTCTAGGACTCTTCTTTTCTAAGAGAATGATCCAAACAGTGACCTGATCCAAAGGAATCAGGAGCAGAAAATCCTAGATTATTTGTCTGTTTGAAAAGAAAGCACCTCCTAAAATACTACCTAATTAAAATAAATTTATCTACCTCCATCTAAGTAAATAGAGATTAGTTACAAGTTAAAAAGAGTTCTTTTTCTAGTCCACGCTATGCTAATTTAAACTGCAATCTGGAAAACGATAAATTATTCATCCAGGCGTCGGGCCAGCAATAAAGCTAACCACGATAGAGACCCTCTCTGTTTTTTTTTTTTTTTTTCGCTTTTACTCTTGGGGCCATTACCTTATTGCAATGCCTTTCAAATCACTATGTAAAAAAATATCTAGATTTTAGACACAATCAACAAAATACTAACTTTACTGTAAAATGTCCAATCAACTGATTCCAATTTAGATTAATAAAGTTATATATCGAGTCCGGTCTCAGGTGTGAATAACCCTTAATAACGAAGGGGTAGTTTCCAGGACAACTAGCCTGCTGGCTTTAAAAATTTAATCGATATATAGCGGTTGTATATGGCAACTAGCCTCAGCTAGAGTTTAATAAAGTCAATGTCAAAATGTTGAATCCGTGCAAAGAACGAGAACCTAGGGTCATCGATAATGCCCTAATAGCCAAATGTATAGATTTGCAATATCCCAAAGGCGAGGTGGGTCGTTTATTGCGTCTCGAAGGTATTCCGATGGAAGAAATTCAGCAAATACGTTTCGAGTATCTTTACATTTTGAAAATCGATCATCTTTGGGTACTCAAGTCGCTGGTGAAGCTCAGCTTGAATAATAATTTTATTGAGAAAATTGAAAATTTAGAAAGCCTGGTGCATTTGAAAGAGCTAGACTTGTCGTTTAATAAAATTGCGAAAATTGAAAATTTAGACAGTTTGGTGAAGCTAGAAAAAATTACTCTTTATGAAAATCTAATTGAGGTTGTTGAAAATATGGATCAACAAGTGAAATTAACTGTTTTCAGCATTGGTAATATAGTTTTATTATCTATCATATGAAATTATTTAATTAAGGTTTTTTTGTAGGTAAAAATAGAATTTGCAATAAGGAAAACTTAAATTATTTCCGCAGATTTCCAGAGCTAACCTCTTTAAATATGGCTGGCAACCCTTGCACTGGAGACACAGAGGACCCAAATAACGATATTCGATTATACGTTGGAGCCTTTCTACCTACTTTAGTTTATTATGAATACATAAGGTATAAAAAAATACCAAAATAATTTAATTTATGATTAAAGTTTTTTTCAGGATCAGTAATAGTGAAAGAGAACAAGCCATTATTATTCATGACGAAGCTTTAAAACTTCTAGAAAAGAACGAAAGTAAAGAAATTGAAGAAAAAGCCGCCCTGGCAAAGGAATTAAGAGACGCCGAAATACACTCGAAAATGTTTGTCGAGCATTTGAATAATGGCAAATTATTCGAAACGATGTATGAGCGTGATGTGGAAGGTAATTTGTTACATTTAAATAAATCGTAAATAAAACTTTTTTTTTTAAGGCAAAGCTCTATTGGATATTGGCGAAGAAGTCACCGAACTATATGAAGAATACAAAGCTCAAATCTTAGAATATTCCAAACAAGTTTTCCGAATCGGTGAAAGACATTACAATTCGAGAAATCAGGAGCTTGATCTTTTTCATAAGAGCGTATGGCGAGCTAAAAAAGACAATCAAGAAGAAAGTATCCAATATATGGAAAAACTTTTGGGTATGTATAGAAATTTAACAAATGAAATCTATTGATATTAATTCCTAGGAACAATAAATGAGGAATTATTCCCAGACATTAATAACTGCAAAATGCAATTAGAGCACGATGCAATAACCGAAGACGAGTTTGAAGAAAAAATTAAAACAATCCGAAACACGTTTGAAGATTTAATACATTTAACTTGGAAGAATTTGATGAGGCTTGAAGTTACTTTATTTGAACAAGTGGAGGAGGTCAATACGGCTTTCGGACAAGGACTTGGCGAGATGATCAATACATTCATAGGTAATTAAATACATAAACAATTTGAATCTAAAGTTGAAATTCCATAGAAGAAGTCCAAGGGGTTTTCACCAACATTAGAGCAGCAGAAGTAACTTATTCAGAAACTTTACAAGATGCTGCAATCAGATTTATGACTGCGGCCAATGTTAATCCTGAAGAAGAGGATATTCCTGCATCTTTAACAGAAATTTTAATAGACAGGGATACATTAAATAATGCCATGGCTGCAACTCATGACATTCATATGCAAGTTATTGATTCTAGGGAAGATGTTTTGGTGAGTATTTTTTCTATGATGATCACAACATTTCCTTATTTGGTACACATACACACCATCGTTTAATATTTCCAGATTCACCGATCTAGAGCATGGTTGGAAGCACTCATTACTGAACTAGTTGACGAAGAAATTGCAAGAGACAGATACAAATTATTGGAAATAAATCATTTCTTGGATATACAACGCGAAGAGTTTGACGAATTAGCTACCGAAAGTGGCACTTTATACACGGAAGAATATGAAATATAGATTGATTGTTGCTTCTAAAGATCAAAAGAAGATTGCAGAAGATTAATTTTAAAAAACAAATCTGTAAAATAATAATTAGTTGAACGATAAATAAATAAACTTCTTTCTTACCTGCTCATAAAATCCAATTTGAGGCGAGGGAGGTTCCAAGTTTTCGCAGAATTCCTTAAATAATAGATAACCTGCAACAGAAAAAAAAGCCATATTACAACACATTACATAAAGCAAAGCAACTTTATAGAATATCAATGCTATTGTGCTTCTCTTTTCCAATTATTGTGAGATTTGAAGCCTTAATCTTTGAAAGAACGATAAATCACCCTAAATTGCTTAACGCGATTTTATTTCTGGAACTATAAGTCTAAATGAGTTAACATTTTCAGGGATTGTAGTCCTCTACTAGAATAAGTTTCTGCTTTCTATCTCTAATAGAAAAAAATTATGATCTCTCAAAGTTTTCCAAAATCTAAATCATAAAGTACGCAGCTACCTTCTTACCAAAATGATGAAATTAAATTTTTTTTTATGTCATACCAATTCATTATTGTGTTTTTATACCTTAGTACACATTATGCCCCCCACGGACATAAAGACGCAAAAAACAGTTTTCAATTAACCTATTCTTTATTAACAAAATATAAATTTACGCTGATAAACATATTATTTTTGTCAAAAAATTATGATGTTTGCACACTGATTACAATTTGCGAAGTGAAACTTTTTTCGCAGGTATTTATTATTCACAACCAACTGGTATGACATAAAAGTTTGTATGCACCACGGGTACTAATAGATATATATACCCTCGGGCGACTTACGAACCCTCGGGCCAGAGGCCCTTGGCTTTGTAAGACTGTCGCCCTCAGGGCATAATCATCTACTTAGTACCCTTAATACATAAATAACTATTATGTTGATATCTTATGTCCTTCAAGACCCCCGAAACTCCATACACGAAATTATTCTGAGATTTGAAACCGAATCTATGAAAAAAGGGCACTCAGAAAAATTAAAAAATGATAAATTTACCCCAAAATGATTAACGCGATTTTATTTCTAAAACTAAGTCCAAATAAGCTGAAATTTTCAGTGATTATAGTTCTCTACTAGAAGAAGAATCGCTGAAAATTTCAACTTCTTATCTCTAATAGAAAAAAAGTTATGATCTTTTAAAGTTGTCAGAGATCTAAATCATATACCTTAGTACTAAAAAGATTAAATTTCATTTTTTTTTTATGTTGAGATTTTGTGTTTAAATGATCAACGAGGACCCCCGAAACTCCATACACTAAATTGTTCTGAGATTTGAAGCCAAAATCTATGAAAAAAGGCACTCAGAAAAATCAAAAAATTGATAATTCACCCCAAATTGCTTAACACAATTTTATTTCTGAAACTATAAGTCCAAATAAGCTGAATTTTTCAGGGATTGTAGTCCTCTACTGGGATAAGAATCGCTGAAAATTTCAGCTTTCTATCTTAAATAGAAAAAAAGTTATGACCTTTCAAAGTTTTCCAAAATCTAAATCATAAGGTAGTTAGCTTCCTACTAAAACGATGAAATTTCAATTTTTTTTGTTGTTGAGATTTTAGGTCCTAATGGTCCCTTGGGACCCCCTCACCTCCATACACTCAATTATTGTGAGATATGAAGCCGAAATTTATGAAAAAAGGCACTCAGAAAAATTGAAAAATCGAAAAATCACCCCAAATGGCTTAACATGATTTTATTTCTGAAACTATAGGTCCAAATGAGCTGAAATTTTCAGGGATTGTAGTCCTCTACTGGAATAAGAATCGCTGAAAATTTCAGCTTTCTATCTTAAATAGAAAAAAGTTATGACCTTTCAAAGTTTTCCAAAATCTAAATCATAAGGTAGTTAGGTTCCTACTAAAACCGAGGGGTCAACACCTGATTGGAAATTTGTACACCTACTGTAAACTAACCGTTCTAGTTGAGTATTGTTAGAGTATTGTCAGGCATTGTCACTTTATTATAGGTATTGTATGGTATTGTAGGGATTGTTAAGTATTGTTAACATATTGTAAGTATTTAACTGGTACTGTCGGGTACTGTAGATGAAACAGCAATACTTAACCTGTATTGTAAAGCAATTTTTAGTACTGTTACTAATGTAGAAGTACTGTCGGTACTGTTTATGTATTTTCAGAACCAATTTTAGTACTGTGAATGTATTCATCTTTGTTATTGTTAAGTGTAAATTGTTACTGATGGTTTATTTTTATTGACAGCTCTTGTCCATTAGATACATATTTTTTAAGCTTTATACACTATGCATTGGTAAGATGCCAATTGTTTAATCGGATGTGATGAAACTAGGGAGTTTTACATGACGGACCCCGTAAAGCTACGCTGTATCACTAAAGATTTAGAGGATTTCGTTAAAATTGGGATTTCAGAAGGATTTCAGTTAGGATTTCGGGATTTTTGAAGGATTTTGGTTGGGATTTCGGGATTTCGTGAGGATTTCGGATAGAATTTCGCTCTTCGCGATTTCGAATGGATTTCGGGATATCAAAGGATTTCGAAGTGATTTCACGGGATTTCGGATGAAAATGTATGTACAGGGGTTATGGTTATAAATGTCACCCCTCTCTATCTTTTTTATTTCACATTTTAAAAGTTTTATGGTTGAAATTAAATTTTTTGGAAAACTCACTTTCGCATATACAGGATGTTTCAGAAAAGCTGGTCGTGCTCCAAATTTCTTATTTCAAATAGAATAACCTGTATATTATTAGATATTCGGATCCTACATAAAATTCTGAGCGGATTTCATGTGATATACCCTATACCTAAGTCCAACTGTTCTGGAAATATTGACAGGTGAAAATTGACTTTTTGGCAACTTTGACAGCCTGTAAATCTTAAACGGTTAATTTAAGAGCAAAACCGATCTTACATTTTTGTCTTAGATTTTTATAAACTATCAGTTGACACCAATATTAACTTGTGAAAATCTTAGAAAAAAATGTAAGATCGGTTTTGCTCAAAAGTTAACTGTTTAGGTTTTACAGCCTGTCAAATTTACAAAAATAGTTATTTGTTTTACTAGGCAGAAAAGTAGAAGATTTAATGTCGCGGCTGCTGTTTCATAGCCGAGGCATAGCCGAGGCTAGGAAACCAGCCAAGGCATTAAATTTGCTTTTTTGCCATGTAAAACATATAATTTTTTCTCCGAATGTTCAAATTCACACATGGACATTTTTTTTATATTTATTTCATTCATTATTATTATCCAAATAATTAAATTATTTTGACAATTGTCATTGTCACCGTCAATTTCAAATACCAAATTGAGTGAAATTATTACCTGGAACGTTGTGACACTGTCACTTTTAATGCTTAGGCAGTAAAAGTCCAGTTATACTGTAAAAATACAACTTTTGATCCTGTCAAGTGTCATTAAAAGGCTGCTTTTACTGTTATTCAGAGAAAAAGTCAATTTTCAACTATCAATATTTCCAAAACAGTTGAAATTATGTATAGGGTATATCACATTAAATCTGCTCAGAATTTGACGTAGAATCCGAATATTGAATAATATACAGGGTATTCAATTTAAAATAAGAAAGTTGGAGCACGACCAGCTTTTTTGAAACACCCTGTATATGCAAAAGTGAGTTTTGCAAAAGATTTAATTTCAACCATACATTCTATATTTGGGACACTTTTTTGTAAAATGTCAAATAAAAAAGATAGAGGGTGAGATTTATAACTAATAACCCTGTATACATACAGCAATTTCGGGAGTGAGCCGCTTCTCGCGTTTTACATATGTGTATTTTTACGTGTGTTTCTACATGTATGAAAATAAGTATTTATTCATGAATTTCTTCACGAGATTAGCTAGGTATTTTTTGGTGCAAATATACAGAAAATTTCAGTGCTACTAACTTTCCTTGTCAAAATCAAAAATTAAAACCAAGTGGCAGTAATGACAATAATAACCTAAATTTAAATTGTTAACAAACACCAGCTGGGAATCCAGGGCTGGGACTCTGTAACGAATACAGATATTTTCTGTAACTCTATTAGGCAATCTCAATCATGTGATTTTTTAATGGCCGTTCGGGTCAAATATTGCCGTGACAAGGGTGACAAGCCGGTGACTTTCATAAGGAGAGCATTTGTGCACATTTGTGTTCTGGCCCTTGTTGCTTTCGAAGTGAATTTTATAGTCTTTGGTGTTTCTACGTATTTTTTATTGGTTTTGGCCATTGTTGTTTTCATAGTGAATTTTATAATCTTTAGTATTTCAACGTATTTTTTAGTGTTCTGGCCCTTGTTGTTTTCAAAGTGATATTTATAGTGTTTATAGTGCTTCTATACGTATTTTTAAATTTAATAATAAATTCTGAGGTGGAGAGTGAATACTTTAAGGTATTATTATTAAGGGAAAATCGAGCCTCTGTTAGATCCTTTCTTTTAATTGCAGCAATCCATAAAGCCCTGCGTTGCCAATGATTTAAAATAGCAGGAACTGAATAAAATTTCACATTTATCCTGTTACCTCAACTTCCACACCCAATTACGATGTAAATCGCTGGCATTTTAATTAACACAATACCTAAACACACAAAAAAATACAAAATTCGATAATTCAAATCTGGGCCGGTATTCTCGTTCTCGAAAACGCTCATCGCTTTTCAGTCGCTCGGCACTTTCAATGTAAATTTACATTCAAAGTGCCGAGTGACTAGAAAGCGGTGAGCGTTTTTGAGAACCAGAATACCGGCCCTGGACGTTTGTCCAGAATGTGACAGAATCAATGACATACAGAATAAACAACACAGTGCTTGACCCAATGCTTGACCCGAACTTCCATATTGAATTTCGTTTTTGACAGGTCAGTAGATTGCCTAATTGGCGTCCCCCGTCTGTAATGATTTCGAAAAGATAGAAGAAGATAGCAACGAACTCTATCCATTACAGAGTCCCAGCCCTGCCTTCATATTGCTTGTAACGTCCTACCAGGACCAGAGCGCATGCGCGGAAGACATTTGTTAGGTTGTAATGAAAATGACCAGTTGTGTCATTACTGCCGCTTGGATTTGGTTCAACTATATAGTGAAATTATTAGAATAATGGATGCACGTCATCAATGACGTCGAAATTATTTCCAATTGCAGTCTGTAAGAAATTAAAATCCGTTTTCAA